CGTCATTTCAATTTCGAATTATAGCATTTTCAAGATTGCATAACCAAAATTTGATGTTTAGTAGTGTATCTAAGGCCAAAGGGCCTTAATCCGGAAAGTGACAAAAACGTCTAGAGATATTGATGTTACCTTAGTAGCGAACTATATTGTAGCAACTAAAAAAAAAATTTGCCAAAGTGTCACACAAACGAAATTTTTGCTTTTTTGCATGACATTGTTTATCACCCCGTATATCATGATAAAAACTTTCCAACCAAAAATGTGTGACATGTAGCCTAATCTAGGAGAAACGCGCTTTTGAGAGCCGCAAACCGCGTTCAAAAATGTTTATTTTTAAAAAAGTTGCAGCTGTTTAAAAATAGGGCACAAAATTGAATGGACCGAACTTAATGTTGACCAGTTTATATCAACTGTAATTGAGAATAGTCAAATATAATTGCGAAAATATCACATGTAATTGAGAATAGTAAAGTGTAATTGCGATTATATCATATGTAATTGGGTATAATCAAATTAAATTAGGAATAAATCAAATGTAATTGTCCTATTCATTTTTCAATCAACATCTCTATCTTTGTAGTTGGGAGTTGTTATGGCAATACTAAGTCAGTTGTTAAAAGCTTTTGTTTAAATACATGTAGGTACTTTCGTGACAAAAAAAGGCAACAAAAAAATGGAACTTCGCGACAATTGTGGTATATGCAGATCCACGATGAAGAGGAAGCAAGTAGTACGACTTTTGCCATGCAGGCATCTTCTTCATGGCCCTTGCGTCGAGTTGCTATTCGGCCAAGTTGGTAACGCAAGATTATGTCTAATTTGCAGACAAGACTGTCATGACAAAGAAGCGGTAGACAGGAGAAGATATAAGGTACATTCAAACCGCGACCGAGAGAGGATTGTGACATGCGCAAACAAGGGAAACGACTGGAGAGCGCTGGCAAAAGATTTGGGAATAAATTATAAAACGGCGTCAAACTGGATACGCTCTGGACGTCCATAAATGATAACCAGGGGAGTTAAGAAACCTAAATCCTTAACTGAAGCGGAAATAGATGTTATAATTTCATGGGTAGAACAAGATAGCACAATAAGATTTAAAGCTAATAAACAAAAATTTCACCTAGAATTCAGAGAAGACGTTTCGGTTTCGACGATCGGAAATTATTGTTGTTGTTGTTATATACACAACATAACACAACAAAAAGAAAACATGGCTGTTGGTCGTTGACTTCCATTGGAGATGTTTTTATTTTGTGTCTATGTAAATTGCGTTATGTGTTCAAGTTGTTTTACATAGGTATATTTTATGTTATTTGTTCCTACTGAATTCTGTTTATTTTTAAGAGGTTTTTCGAAAATCAATAAATACCACTTTCTGAGACTCTGCGTAGCTTGTTTATTCAAAAAATTAACATTTTCAAATAACCTTAATCCTCAGATATTATCACAAGCTGAGAAACAAAATATTTGACAATGTCTTATTTATATTTAAATAATTCGCAACTATATTTGATATATTCTTAATTTCATTTGATTATCCCCAATTACATATGATATATTCGCAATTATACCTAACTTTTCCCAATTACATTTTATATAATCGCAATAACATTTAACTCCTCCCAATTACATTTAATATAGTCGCAACATCATTTGACTATTCGCAAAATCAATTGATGAATTCGCAATATAACTTGGTATATTCGCAATTACACATGGAAAAGGTGTAGAATAAAGCCCTATTGACATGCTGCGCACTGCGCAGATGGTCAAAATCCAGTTTTCAGACATTCCCTTAATAGCTAGGGTTTTCCACACCCCGGAAAAAGCAGCTACGATGTCCCCGCCTAAAAAGAGTTATGGTATAGTTTGGTACTTTTTAAAATTTTTGATATCACCCTTTTTTGGCCCTAAGGGTTGTTAGGTAGGTAATGGATAATGTCCGACTAGACTGGAAGTATTTTGAGGCTATGGGCTGGAATGGTTTTAAATATATATAGCTAGTCGGCAGTGAAAATATCCACGCATGTTTATCATCGAAACAATATATCTGTTAGTCTGAGTGTTGTTTTTTTTTTACTAGAAAGGAAACGCTTATCAGTTATTATAGTAGTCGTAAAAATAACCGTGAAACATGATACCCTGTGCCTGTTTATAACTTTCCCGCATCAAATGTCGACGTCGTGATGATTCACGAATTTTCCTTATTTACCACTACAGCATCCTGTAATACGACACCACGAGCTTCACAATATGTACGCTAGATGGCACCACCGATAACGTCATGACTTCGCGACGCCATTGTCTATACTATCGGGTCTTCAAAAAAAAAAAAACAATCAAAGATTGCTATGGTTTTTTAAACGTACGTCTTAGCAATATTTTTCTTTAATTTTGACAATGTCAGTCAATGAAATTTAATGTCAAAATGTCATGTCAAAAATTCTGGCCAATAAAGAAACAATAATCCGACGTACGTTTTCGTAACCAAAGCAATCTTTGATTGGTTTTTTTTTTTGAAGACCCGATATATCTACTAACATTTTTATTTACGTGGTACTGCAAAGTGCAATGATGAAATTATTCATATACAGTGCCCGCGGAAAAGTCTGCACCATATGGGAAATTTTTTTATGCTCATCCTTACTTCAAATCGGTTTTCAGCATTAGGTTCTGCATGACTGAAAACCAAAAAAACACCTAAAATTTTTGACTCGAGACTTGCCTCACACCTGTCAAATACCATTTGAAAATTTCAAACAAGGAAAAGTGGCATTTTTATAAAAAATATGAAAAAATTTTGTAGGAAAATATTGTTCGGAATGACATTTAGAGTCTAATTTGATATTTTTGCTTTAAAAAAAAAAAAAATATATATTTTTTTCGAATATTTACGGAAAATAATATTATCAGGATTTCTTTCGCGACCATTCGTCTAAAATAATTAGTTTGTATCTGACTAATGGTTTTTTAAATCTTAATAATCTAATTAAGTGTTTAAACATCAAAAAGAAATATTTCTATTAAAATTTTGATACGCCTCTGGACTATTTTAAAAATTTTATAATTCTCAAAGTGAAATTTCAAATTGTTTGTTTATAAACTCCTCCTAAATATTTCAAGTCGCCTCTAAAAGACATAAAAACTATTATTAAAATAATGAACGATCTCCAAAACTTACCTCAAAGCCGAAATTTCAAGTAAAATGAAAAATGAAGAGAAAATTGAATTTTCTCAAGTTGGCTATGTAGAAATACCTACTCTATATATATAAAAATGAATGCCACTTTTCGTTGTAATTTTATAACTCAAGAACGGACTCACCTAGCCAAACCAAATGTTTAGGCTTTGTTCGGACTATTTATTAGATGGTTTATGTGAAGTTTGCACAAAATCGGTCGAGCGGTTCTTCATTTATCACATTTTTTGTAATAAATTAATTATTCAATAAATGGAGGATCATTTTGCTGTCAAATTTAAACTTTTTTCAGCGTTGACAGTACCAGCATGTTGTTATGTCATTAATGTGGTCATTTCATTACTTATTCTATTTATTTATGAAAAAAATTTACTAAGCCCGCATACGGTGTCTTATAACCGATACCAAGTTTATTTTGTAATTTGTATTTTGTATACCGCGCCATCTCTGACACAAAAATCTCTGATACCTGGAACGAAGCTCGGCATTGCAGATACAATAGAAAATGCTGCACAGAACTATTCCACTATTCCGATCAGATAGAGTGGTGCAGAAAGAGTAGGTCAGATAGAGTAGTGCAGATAGAGTAGAACAGATGGAGTAGTGCAGTGCATGCATGCAGATAGAGTGAAATAGGGCTGCGCTAGAGATTTTTTTTGTTTTCTTTACATTCTTTGAACATTCCTGTGCCTGAGTTTATTTATTTGGTGGTACACTTTACAAGAATAATGCCCACAAGCTGCCTAAAAAAGGTTGATGTAAAATTTTAATTTTAGGTGACTTCTGATCCAGAGAGTAAACATTGATTTTCTTCAACCAAAGCCAAATTCGCCATCGAAAAAAACTGAATTTAATTCAGCTAATAGATACGTTAACACAACATTTAATAGGTACCTATATTTAATACTTCAGAGGCGGTACGAAGTTCGCCGGGTCAGCTAGTATGGTTATAAATGGAAGAAATACTACATACTACAATAGGGCAAGTACAATATCACATGTCACATCTAAAAGCTATAAGAACTATGGAAAAACTAAAAATTTACTCCAAAACTTGCATGATAGTTGAACAATAATAAATATTATACCAATTTATTATGAAAAAATAGTAATTACAATAAATAATTTCACATTTCGGTGTGCCTTCCTTCCCTTTCCATACAAATAATTGTTCTCTTTGAGAATTCCTTTATGCTGTTTCTCAAAAATGTTCTTGGAATTTGACGACAACAATTTCTAATTGTATTTTCCAAGTGATCCACATCACGAAAAGGGCGACGGCGATAAACCTTCGAAAAAAAGAATGTCGTCTAATTTTGGTATTTGTAAAAAAAATACACACATTAGCGAAAGTCTTGAATCCCCCATGATTCTCTATTTTTTAAAGATCGAAATTGTGAAATGTTAAATTATTATTTTGTCAAAGACTTTCGGCGAGCGTATTGGATTTAGCTGCCAACAAAAAAATATCAAATGGTTCCAATACTAACTTTTTGTTTTAAGTATCCCCATAAAAAAATCCAGGGGTGTCAAATCGGGCGAACGAGCTGGCCAAGGGTATTGCGAAAATCTTCCAATCCATCTCCCTCTAAAAGTATAATTTAACAGGTTGTTCACCTCGATGGTGCTATGGGCTGGTGCGCCATCTTGCTGGAACCACAACGTCGCTCTTGTATTTAATGGCATAGTGTCAAGAATATTTCTGATGTCCCTTCTGATGAAATTTGAATAAATCTCGGAGTTAATATTTTCGTGAAAAAAAAAGGGACCAAAAAGCGCTCCATTTAATATGCCACACCAAACGTTCGTCTTGAAAGAGTATTGATCTCTGGCTTCAGTGATAAAATTGGGATTCTCATCTGACCACCATCTACAATTTTGAGAGGATACCACTCCATTTGACGAAAAGGTTGCTTCATCGCTAAACATAATTTGTTTAGCAAAAGAATCGTTGTCTTCAATTTCTCCTTGAATCCAAGCGCAGAAATCGAACCTCGCAACAAGATCCCGCTCTTTTAATGTGCTAATAAACTTTGGTTTGTAGAGCCTAAACTTATTTTTCTTTAAAATTTTCCGCACTGTTGTTCCTTTGACGCCCGTTCTATTGGCAATTTGTGACACTGATGTTGTTTTATGTTCAACAACATCAAGCATCACAGATTCTTCATGCTCATTCACTTGCCAATTCACAAGAGTTTTAAAACTGTTTTGAACAAAGCCAGTTTCTCTAAATTTTGTCAATATGCGACCGACAGTGGTATGAGAAATATTTTTTTCTGGATATCTTGTATTAAAAATTTCAGCAGTCAATCGATTGGTTTTCTCTTCGCCATAAATAAGAATTATCTCAATTTTATCTTCTTTAGTGAGCATTTTTGAAATAAATTAGTTTAAAGTAACCACATAGTTTACTAATTTAATCAAAATTTGACAACATAAATGTCAACCATCTAAATTGTTTTATTTTCAACCATATTGTTTTCCCATGGCCAACTTAGATACATTTAATTTCCAGTACATTTTTTATCTTATTTAAAATTTCGACTTTGAGCTAAGTTTTAGAGAAAATGTATCATTTTATGAATAGATTTTATATCTTTTAGAGGTGACTTGAAGTATTTAGGAGCAGTTTATAAGCAAACAATTTAAAATTTCAATATGACAAGTCTAAAATTTTTAAAATAGTCCAGAGGCGTATCAAAAGTTTAACAGAAATATTTCTTTTTGATGTTTAAACTCTTAATAAGATAATAATTAAGATTTAAAAAACCATTATTCAGATACAAACTAATTATTTTAGAGGAATGGTGGCGAAAGAAATCCTAAAAATATAATTTTTCCGTAGATATTCGAAAAAAATTTTAAAAAAATAATATTTTTTTTCGAAGCAAAAATATCAAATTAGACTCTAAATGTCATTTGGAGCAATATTTTCTTATAACGTTTTTTCATATTTTTTATAAAAATGCCACTTTTCCTTGTCTGAAATTTTCAAATGGCATTTGACAGGTGTCAGGCAAGTCTCGAGTCAAAATCTTAGGTGTTTTTTTGGTTTTCAGTCATGCAGAACCTAATGCCGAAAACCGATTTGAAGTAAGGATGACCATAAAAAAATTCCCCATATGTTGCAGACTTTTCCGCGGGCACTATATACGCTGATGACGTAAGGCCTTCTCATATGACTTAAGACCTTCCTAGGCCTCGCGTTTCCTCAATTTTTAGTTTTGTTGGTAAACGTGTTAATAATATAATTTAGCAATATATTGATGATAGGTAATGAATATTTGAGGCAAAAATTCCAGGAAAATCCTTATGGAAAAAACTTGAGACGGAATTATTTTGCAGAAAAAAGATAAATGAGTCATGGGTCTAAGTCATGTTGATAATAATTGTAATATTACTTACGCTTTTGTTAATTCCCACAGTAATACAGAAACTTAAAATAGGCGCAATCCAAAAGTTTACTGATCACTTTCAACAAGTCACTCGAACAAGCGGAGATTTTGATCTAAATACAAGCGAAAGCGTTGTAATAATAAGGGTGTCCCAATAGGAACGCACAATTTGAATTGCGTGGCATTTTTACTGTATTCGCAGTAGGCCAAAGAACGAATGATAAGAATAATGTAAACAGTTTGCGATTTATGTGGTATCAACAGGAAGGGACGACATGTCACACTACACGCGAAGCAATTAAGTTGTTGCAAGAAAAGTTTCGCGGTCGTGTCATCTAACGTAATGGAGATGAACTGGCTCGCAGGATCGTACGATTTAACGCCTTTTCATATCTTTCTTTGGGGTTTTTTAAAAATCACTCGTATACGCTAATAAAACAACAACAATTCCACAGTTGCAGAACGAAATTGAGCGCGTTATTAGCAAAATTGGGCCAGAATTCTGTGAAAATGTGTAAATTTCTTGAAACGAATACGAGTCTGTCACCAAAGTAGAGGCGGCCATTTGCCAGATATTATTTTTCACGTTTGATTGCAGTGCATTGACTTTCAATTAAAATATAAATAACACTTAGTTTAAAATAAATTATGACTTCTATTTAACAATTAAAATGTGCGTTCTTATTGGGACACCCATTATAATGAAAATAATTTTAAAAAATTTCCGGCTTGACCACAGTCGCGGCTGTGTTTGCCAACTTACTGTTACCTATACGTGTTTATCGATATACAGAGGAAAAATTAAAAAAGAATTTAGACTAATGTGTGTCCCTTTGTGTTTTGGAATGTTTCCTACAGTGGTATTTGACGTCAAATGCCCTTGCTGGTAAAAAATAGCCTGTGAAGAAGACCAAATATATGGTCGAAACGTCGGCATAATTTTTTGAAAAAAGGGTGTTTTATTTCCAAAGTCCTTAACCCATTATCTCTACTCTTTCTAAAGTAAAATTATTAAAAAATTTGTTGACAACAATATGCAAATTTTGGTCATGGATTTAAATGAAAAAGGGAAGACTCCTAGAGTAGCACACCAACAATAAATTTCCAAAATTTCGGATCGTCAATTGCTGGAATGAATGAATAGAACAGAATTTCCGAAAATTTATGATGTTTTTATTCCAAAATTAATCAAAATCTGCCAAAAGTGCCAAACAAGCAGGTGATTGCTGTCATTTTCAGCAGAGACAAACCAAACGTGTATTCAGCGCTTTTCTTGAAGATGTTAATTACTGTGTAAACGAATTGATATCGAAGATGTCGCCATCTACTTGCAAATAAGTCAATCACTTACAGAGAATTTGAACACCTGTGATTAAAAAGTATTAAATGTATGTCATAAAGCCTAAAAGATGGCGCGCTGGCTCTTATCTGACGCCCCTCTTGATCATGAAACTAATCAAGCAGTCTCCTTTGTAAAGGTATGTAATTTCTGTTGTTGCTGACCTGGGTGCTCCTATAAGCTTTGAATTGGATATTGCTGACATAAAACTAGCCACAACCTATGACCTATTTTCGTCCTTTACTACTTTATAAAAAAATAAAGGATAGGTATAATCGGTGAACTCTTGCTGCCCTATTAAATGAGAGGCACGTGAAAATGGACTATGCGGTGCGAAGTGTTTTTATCTATTTTTTTGGTCAACACTTTTGATTAACAGAACCCCTCCCCCCCAAACCAAAATCCTGGCGTATTAGTGGGTATATCTTATCTTTCGTATTAATCAGTGAAGAACGCAGTTGGTTTGTGGTTTTAAACGATATTTTTACATTATCCACATGTTAGCGGACACAATTATTGATCTTTCTATTAAAAACAGTATCAAATAGGGTGACGAAACGAATTTGAAGTTGTCAGTTTACTGGGCAGGGAAAAGTTCTTTCTTAAGTTTGGCATATGTTTGATTTTGTTAATTAAAGTGTCTATGTATTTGGGATCATAGGCATTATTGTAGGCCAATTGTTCCAAAATTTTAACTTCGTCATGGTAGTCTTCGGTAAATAGAGAGAGGTTTAGTAGGCTGTGTATGTAACAATTAAAGGCTGCCATTTTGGGATGATTGGAAGGTTTAATCAGATGGTCTGTTTGTGTTGGTTTTTGATTTTCCATCTGTTATTTTTATGTAAAAAAATAATAAAAAAAAGTATGATTGCGATCTTTAAATCACTTAGGTGTGGTTCAAAATCTTTAAATTTGTGAAAAAAATCAAAGTGAAAATTATCGTTTCTGTTCACTTAACTTCTTACTTGGTGCACTTTCCATGCAGATTACACAACACTTTGCTTGCCGGTAACGTTAATTTCTATTTTTTCGTGGTGGAAATTATCTTTTAATTATAGAGGAGCGGGTGCGGATTTCGGTCGACAAGGCGAAATCTTGTACCCATGTGTCCCTTTTTTCGAGTACGGAACTGCGCGCATGTACCTTCTATGGGCTAACGGACAGGTTTTTCCCCAGTAAATACCTATTTTTTTTAAATAATAATATTAAGAACATAGAAATCTTTGGATTTGCTCCATTGATATTGAATAAAGAAAGTTTAATTTAATTTTCAACACCATCAATAGGTAAATTTGAAACCCTCTGGTGAAACTTTAATTGTGATGTCAAGGAAGTTAATCTGTCTGTCTCTCTCAACTTCCATTGTGAATGAGATGTGGGGGGATGTTGTTTATTTTGTTAAGTAAATCGGTAGCACCAAGTTCGTCAGTTCAAAAAACACAGTCATCAACATACCTGAATCAGTGTAGAATTTCTTTGTTGTTATTATTGACAATATTTGTAGATTCCAATGGTCCATGAAGACTTCTGCCAAGAAAGGTGAAAGACAGCTACACATTGCAAGGTCATCAGGTTGCTTGTAGAACTTGTTGTTAAAAGAAAAGAAGTCTTGTGGTAGACAAAGGTTAAGTAAAGAAAAAACTTTTATTTGTTCTGGGTCACTGACCCCAATTTGTGAAAGAATATTTCCCACCTTATTGACTGTTGCAGATTTGAGAACTGCGGTGAAAAGATTGGAGACGTCAAATGAGACAAGAAAAGATTCCCGCGGTATGCTGAGAGAATTCATTCTGTCCACAAGAGAGCAGAAATTTTTAATACCATGTCTAGGACTGAAGTATGTTAGCATCTTTAGGAGATTGAGAATGAATTTAGAAACCAAGCAAACCGATTTATTAGTGAAGCTGACCACGGGTCTAATTGGTTCTCCTATCTTGAGAATTTTGGTAAAGCCGTAGAGTCGGCATATTGGGGTTGCTGGATATTTTAGTTATTTGATGCTATCGTTTTCGTCCAGGAATTCCTTGAAGTGTTTCAACAGTCTGTTTTTGTGATGAAAGTATTGAGTGGGTTCATAGTGATTAGAGTAAAATTGTTATTTAACAAAAAGTTTTCCACTTTGAGGTCGTAATCAGCGTTGTTCATGACTACAACTCAATTTCCCCAGCCTTCGAAATAATGAATTTTTAGGTTGTGTTTTTTCAACAAATGCAGCTGATACTGAGACCTCCGAGAGGAACCAGTGATATTCAGGATTCCCTTCTTTTTGTTACACAATAGGCTGTGGAAGTCATTACGTAGTTCTTTTTTGATATTATAGTTTTTGGATATTTGTTCAATCATTACATCAGGTTCCATAGTCTATTGTAGAAGGAAGCTCCCAGAAAACGAAAGATCAACACAGTGCTGAAGTCCAAGACTCGTATTCATCGAAGACGTGTGACAGATTGTTTACCCTTTGATACAACTGAAAGTTCGAGAACTTTCCGACACCCTCTTTACGTCTATTTTCATTTTGTTTTTTGTCAATAATGTCGGAACCTGACAAGTGAGTGAAATAAAAAAGTTAATTTGAATTTTGCATGAAGTACAAATTGTTTCCTTACTCTTTTATATTGGCTGCTTCCGGAAAAATAGATTCTTCTTGATCGGCCAGTTCCTGGAGAAATCTCAAAGCTAAATTGGAAGATGATTGACCATAGAAATGAATGACTGGAAAGTATTCTTCAAGCCCGTCTCTTGGAGAGAACCTCCAGAGGATACTTTGATACCCATAAAAATAAGGCTGAATGAGAATCTTCCTGTATATTTTGACACAATCGGCCAGGAAATAGCAAGCATGCCAGCGAAAGGACAAAAGCACAGAAGAAATATGACTTTGAAGTTAGGTCTAGTACCTAGTTAGGAAATGCCACCCGAGCCGCGGTCGCTGAGACGAATAAGAGGCACAGATTCCATAGAGGATTGATTATCTGCGTTGGGATCCGGAGTCATGTTACCACTGACCAAATCCGTATATTTTTCATAGATCTCATGGTTTTTAGATAATTTTGTATAGAAAATCGACAGCAGGCTGAAGTGAAACTATCTCCCATGTTAGAACAAATCTACCAGAAGGTTCACGAAATGTGAATGATTTGTAAATTTCCTGGCACTCCAAATCGTCTGAAGATTAGATTAAAAAAGGATTTCAGATGTTTTTCTTGTTACAAGCTGATCAGGTTCTCAAAATATTTTCCAGAAATCCAAGAAGAAGGAGAAAAGTTCAGCACCTACAACAGCAGGAATTTCCTTGGGATAGTAAGATTTGCTTATTAAGTATAACATTGAAGAACAAGGCGTCGAGCGCAAGCTTCAGAAATGAAGTTTGCGACGCTGGCTGTTTCCAGCAAGACGCTGATTTCCCGAGAGTTACCTGAAGCATCTTGCAAGGCGCGGGGGCTCCAAATTGTAGTCTCAATCGGATCGAACGAATTACTACCAGAAAAAAGAATAAGCTAAATATAAATTGAATTGATTCTGGTTTAAAGTGATCCAGTTATTTTAAATATTCACGCCAGGTTATGTTTTGCTTCCTGTACAGCGGCAACGAATCAAAAGCAGCTATACAAAGCCGGTACAAACACTTCCCTGAGGGCAAAGTTAAATTATAAATAGACGTCCTGCCAGGACACATCTCGTTTAGAGCTTATCTTGCGTAACAGGCATTATGTTAACGCCCGTGTAAATTACCTTGGCGAATATTACATTCGAGTTAACTTGGGCAGTTGCTGTTTAAAAAAAATTTTGGTACCTACTTCTTTAAAGCTTTGCTCTCTAAACTTTATCTCTATTCAGTTATTTATTTACTGAAAATCTAGTACTTTACCAGTCTAATTTATAGATAATTGTTTTTTTAATAGCAACTAGGTCATGAGCGCGCTTCGCGCGCTTTTTTTTCCTAAATTAAGTCTGTCAAAATGAAAACAATTATAAAGTGGAAAATATTTATTAAGTGTTGTACGAAAAACAACATAATTTTTGATTTAAATGTACATTATACATTATAATGTAATAGTGAGATAGGTTGTATAGATGTCATTTTAGTGAAGAAATTTCAAATGCGATGCAATTATTTTTATATGGTATATCGTAATGATTTTAAATCGATCACATTTCTTGAATTGAATGTGTGTGTATGTCCAGTGCATCTTATTCTATGTTATGGAACTCGTAGGTATCCGTTTTTCGCAGTGGTTTGATTGAAACAGAATAATCATTAATCATAACCGTAATAAAGGTGTTAATATAAAACCGAATTATAAACTATTTATATGCGGTGGTATAATACGAGATATCGAGTCTTAAAAACTTTTTGCATTTTCATGGAGTTCCTTTTTTTGATTAAGTCAGTTATTGAAGTCTACTCGATCAACTTCTTACTGCGAAAAACCGAAAAAAAAAAAATTATTAAAAATATTTTAAATTCAATTATTAAATTATTCAACTTACATTTTTTGTTTGTACGTGGTAGACATAAATTTCAAATGCGATGAAAGAAGTTGAGTAGTGAGTAGAATAATTACTTTTGTGGTACCTCGTAATCACTTTAAATCGATCACATTTTTTGAATATACAGTCGGTGTACATATATGTCCAGTGCATCTTATTCTGTTTTATGGAACTCGTAAGTATTTAAGGTTCAAAGAGTGCTAATTCTTTTCTACACTGTTGTACAACACCTGAAAGTAATAGACAGAAATAAAATAAATACAATTAAAATATTGCAGTCCCTACCAATTTTTGTGGCTGTTCATGTGGCTGTTATTAAATAAATCTGCAACTAAGCTAGTTTCTCATATACACTTTCATCTTTATCTTTTCTTTTCTTTTTCGGTTTTCTTATAAATCTGTAAATAGGTTGTTCTCCGTTATATTCAATCATTTATGTTTATCGTGTTTAATTTGTAACTTGTGATTTTCAAGATCTTGTGAATCTCTGCTGAAATCACCTGCAAATTTTCAAAACTAAATTATTAAAAAAACAATTCTTTAAAAACATGGTTTTTGACAACACTATTGCTTCTTTGTTTCCCTAAATAAACTTTCAATGAGTCCCACGAACGAACTCTGGAAAGCGCCACATAAAGTTGTCCGTGACTAAATACATCCTTTCTGAGATCAATTCCTATCCTATCAAATGTTTGTCCTTGAGATTTATTAATCGTCATTGCAAAGGCCAATTTTATCGGAAATTGTCTCCGTTTGAATGTAAAAGGGTAGACGTTTTCGCAGTAGAGTGTTATTCGATTTATGAACACTATTTCTCCTTGTTTATCTCCAGTCAATATTTCACAGCGTAACAGATTATCCCCAAGTTCCAGAACTAATAACCTTGTACCATTGCAAAGACCTTCACTGATGCTTAAATTTCTAATGAGCATAACAATAGAATTCGTTCTCAATCGTAATTCATGGGGCGGGAAGTTCGGCGGGTTAAGCGAATTTAAATATTCTGGAAGAATAGCATCATTTAGATCACCATTATCACAGTTCTCGACACTATCTACACTGGTGTAGAGTTTTTCGGTCTTGACGTCCAACAATTCGACAACTTGTTTGTTTATTTCTTCGACGTCAACATTTCTTGCAGAAAGTATTGCAGATTTGGTCAAGTCCCTGAATCTTCCTTCTCTTAGTACTTCTCCATAGATGTTTTCAATAATATCCGAATTATCAATACATTTCTCTGGCAATTTTAGATTGTCATTGGAATCATTTAGTGTTCCATTTCCGACGTCCAATAAAAATTTGGAAAATTCAAGTTCTTCTGCTAGAGCTCGCATATTTTGTGTCAAAGAAAATTTACGGAAATAATTCCAAAGCGAACTGAATTTGATACTAAGACTGACTATTTCACTGCGTGTACCATGAACCTTTACTGGCAACAGCTGTCGAAAGTCCCCACCCAAAATCATTATTTTACCTCCAAAAGGCAACCTATTGTTCGTTAAATCGCGTAATGTTCTCTCGATAACTTCTAATGCATCCTTTAGTGCCATTGGTGCTTCGTCCCAAATGAAAACGTCGACACTTTTAAGATAGTTTGCCTCTTTCGTATTGTTTTTAATGCTCGAATTGGAGTCCGAAAATAGAGGAACTGGTAATCCGAACGTTTTATGCACTGTTCTTCCATGTGGAAGCAATGTGGCTGCGATACCGGTGAACGCCATCGTACAAACATTTTTATTTCTCGTCTTCAGCATACCATAAAGGGTAGTGTATAGATATGTTTTACCGGATCCACCAGGACCGTCAATATAGATGCAAGAGGTCTCTTCATTGTTCTCATCTGTTTGGTTGTCAGCTTTTTCTAAAATGAAATCTACAATTTCCTTTTGTTTTGCATTTAAAGAATCGTATTGATTTAGCAATGTATCAAATGCTTCTTCTTCATTCAAAATTTCCATGTCGTTACTGACATTATCCAAATCAGTTATTTGTGGCATAGTAGGAAACATTGAAATACTCCAGCCTTCTAGATTCAACATCGAATCAAGTTGAACGTAGGCCTTTTTCATATCTTGACTGCCGTTATATTTTCTTCGATAGTCTTCTGACAATGCATCTTTAAATTCTTCCCAAAGTTCTTCAGGATGTATTGGTTGACAATGTATTAAAATACGAACAAAAAGATATCGAAGTTGTCTTGGCATCATCCAAATTTCAGCTTCATTCATTGCCCTTTTCCATTCGTGGTCATCTTCAATAAGCCCTAATTCCAAACATGCAGCCATAAATGATTCCTGTCTTACTCCATTAACAGTTTTTATATCCTCAAAACTCAGTGGTCCTTTAACATGAAGTAATAAAATTCTAAGATGGAAAAGCTCAGTTTGAGTTGGACTAACAGAGTACATACGACCAATCACATTAAATTGTCTTTGACGATGGATCCATTGATATTTGCCATCTACTTTTTTAAACACATAGTATGTCGGTATTGTGCTGTAACTATACTGACGGGCTTCTGGGTTTCGAGAATTTAAGGCAAAATAGTCAATTAACATTGTTTGCCGTTCTAAAGCACTTCTGATTTCATTGTCATCGCAATCATCAGCAATAAACACATTTTGTTGGTTTGGCAAATGAACTGGCAGTCTTGTAATCGAATGACTTTTGTCTTGCAAAGGCTTTTCTAAAATTCTCCATGCAGCTTCAACTGGTCCGACATATCTTGTTTCAATAAAATTTCGGATTTCATCGTGTTCGATGGTTGTGCTGTTTGATTCAGAAATAATTATATTTGCTGCATCATGACCTTTATAAACATATTTGTACAAATACTTAACTGACTTAATACTGGAAACGACCTCTACGTTTATATGACCATTAAATAACTTTAACAGTGTGGGGTTATGTGGTACGACATACCGATTATCGCAAACGTATCCATCAGAAGACCTTTTAAATGACATACCAGGATTTCTGCGACGGTAATAAGGATACCCATTTTCATCCATTGTAGTTTCTTCTCGAAATTGTTTTGGGTAATTTTTAGAACAGGTCTTCTCTTCTGTTAAACACCAGTCACCACATGGTCCATGAACCATATTTCCCAACACAATGTTATGCAATATTGGTTCTTCCTGAAAATCTGGAATTTCTGCTGATATGTATCGATCGACAATTTCAGGGGTTGTTATTTTTTGTGACTGCTTTAGAGTAACTAACATATGTACATGAGGTAAGCCTCGTTTTTGGAATTCAATGACGTAAACATATGCTTGTACTTCACCAAAGAAATTTTGATTTACAACCAAATCAACTAATGCATTTTTTTTTATGTTGAAGACTCTGGCCACCAAATCTGGTCTATCAGATGCATGTTGTCCAGGTAACAAGTTTTCGCTGATTTCTCGCCATTTTGGATTGCAGGTCATAGTTATAAAAAGGTCTGGTTTACCATGTTTCCTTACTATTGTCATTGCGTCTTGATAATTTTGTAGCATATTTCGAGGAGATCCTTGGAATGTTGATGGTAAAACTACCATTTTGCCCACATTTCCATTTTGGTCTTCTGCCCGTTTTTGTAAGTGGTCAACCAAACCTTGATATGATTCTGCTCTGAGTTTTTTTTGGTTTTCCTTACAAAAATTAATGCGATCTTTTTCAATTTTTACGTAACTGTCAACTAACCACTGCTGAAATAACCTGCGCCCTTTTAAAAATACGCTGATCTCATCACGGACTGCAATTCTATATTTGGTATAAGCCGCCCGTGTAACTCTTCGAGATTTATTTACGCACTTTATGTCTTGATGCCAGCCTCGTGTACCGAATGGATAAAATAATGGATATATCCATGGTTCTACATTGGGATCCATGCTACTTACATACTGCAATGATTTATCGTTTTTGTTTCTTATCGTAACATAGGACTCTGGAATGTCGCCATCAGCTGTTGTAGAAAAAACTGCAGCCACTTCATTGACCCTTTGAAAATTGTAGCGATTTTTATCCACACCTGGTTTTAATGTAAATAAAAGTTGTAATTCAGGATCATAATCTGCATGCATGGATTTTTGATTTTCTATTTCTTCATTCATCATTTGATAGGAATGAACAAATACATTGTTTTCCCGCATTATATCATCAATCAACTCCATGAGCTCCATGTCGCATTCTGAATTGTTCTTTTGTCGAAATTCTGCTGCTTCATGTGCATCAACGATAAAAAGTTGTCCATAACAGGGATTTTCGCTAGAGGACGGATATAGTGCTGTATTAATTTGGTAGTATATTTGCCCGTGTATCTTAAAGCAATATGGTCCTGGTCGAGAACTAAACTTAACTAAATTAGCATTAAAAGATGCAAAAGAAAATGAACTATTGTAACTTCGGATATGTTCAAAAAAAAATCGTGATTTTGGATGGGAGCCGCAAAACAATGACTGTAAATTTGCAGGAAGAGTGGGTAGAGGTTCCAACCGTATTTGACCATGTCCACAACAATCATTAAAAGAATTGCCTCTATTCGCAACTTTTTCAGAAGCAAAATGTCTTGCACCACAATGTATACAAGAAATATTCATTACACCAATATAATGCTCACTTGTTGAATTTTCGAGTCGGAGTAGAGCTAAATCAATAAAATTATGTTGCCTTGAGCGATAATTTCTTTGATGTTGTGTCTGTGTAATTTTTTCATTTTTTTGTTCCGCATTAGAATTACCGCTCATTTTTTCAATTTGGGCGGCTCTTTCGCGACTTCGACGTTGATTTTCATTATTTCTTTCGCGTCTGAGTCTCATAACCTCCTCCTCTTCTTCAGGAGTACGGGTAATTTTTCTTCGGTTCATAATTGATGGTAATAAATTAAATGTAAAAGAAATCTATGATAATAATTTAGACAAAGTTTTGATTTCAAATATGAGTTTTATCTAAAATCTTTCTTCTTATTTGGGTCTATGCAGGTCTACTTTTTATCTAATTCTATTCTCTTATTTTGGGTCTTTTTTCTGGATTTAAATCTGGATTTTCTAATCTTAAGTCTGTGTTTATACTCTATATAGTGTAACAGTAATGTTTAACAATAGAAAAAGTCTCACCTTATCTACAGCTTCAATAGTCACTGCACAGCACAAATACTTAGGTAGGTAATAGGTAATTATTTATTGGCCGATGTTTTTGTCATACTATTAGAAAAACACGTATGTTAACCAATTTCGTTTTCATTCAATAGGAGCACTTATGGGGCACTTCTAACGAAAAAAACACGTAAAAATAAAAAAAAAACTGTCAAATATACAAAAGACTACACTGGAGAGTAATAAGTTATAATCTCTAATAAAATTGACAATTGACATGCAATTCAGTGGCGTATCATTAGTTGTATTCCTTTCAAGATTTGCAGGGAACAGATGCGTGGTGCAACAAACAATTTTCGAAAAGAATAAGGGTGGGTATTATAAAACTGCTTTGACAGTTAACTTGAAGTTAATTTTTTGAATTACATGTTAGAAGTTAACTCTCAAAGTAGTTTTATAATACTCGCCCTAAGCGCGTGAAGCCTCGGAGCTGTTCCAGAGCTCCTCATAAGTGTGAAAGGAATACAACTATTAGGGGGAGTTCAGAAATAACACACCGGGTGTGAGTGCGATTTTATGGGTGTGACTGAAATGACAATTCTTAGGCGATAATTTTCATATGAATTTCTGAAGACTTGGTGTGATCAATCGAGCATCTCCTCAAAAATTTCACCAAATGTATCAAGATTATATTTTTTTGTTGTTCATTTTTTTAATTGAAAAAAAACTTTAATTTCTATTTGTGTTTTATTTATATTTGGTGGAAATAATGACATTATGGGAGGAATGGTTGATATTAGCCGCTTTCCAGCTGTGTGCTTCAAGCACGGTGCAGCACAGTGTTCTGTGTTTGAAACGCAAAAGTTAGCAGCTCTCGAACCGCAGTATGGCTGGAACACGAACACGCGCTTGAAGCATTTGCGCACACAAAAGCTCGATTGTGTGCTCAAAAGCGTCAGCTGGAAAGCGGCTATTATTGTTGACATAAAGACATAACTACACCAAAGCCACACTAAAAAATTCTGGTGTGGCCATTGCGACACCTGGAGCGCGCCCGAAGTACTTTCTGAACGGATCATAGAACGCGCACTCGGTGTGCCTATACCAATTATGAACAGCTAATGCGTTGCACTGATGTCAAACTCACACTAAGGGCGGGTATCATAAAACTGCTTCGATAGTTAACTTGTAGTTAACTTTTTGAATTACGTGTAATTTCACAAGTTAACTTTAAGTTAACTCTCAAAGTAGTTTTATAATACCCGCCCTAAGTATGTCATTCCTGAACTCGTCGTAGTTGTATTCCTTTCACACCTAGGAGGAGCTCCGGAACAACTCCGGGACGTTACACGCTTATTCCTTTCGGAAAGTGTTTGTTGCACCACGCACGCATCTGTTCCCAGTTCAGAAATAACGCACAGGGTGCGAGTGCGATTTTATGGGTGTGCCTGAATTGACAATTGGCCATTGGGCCCATAGCACCGTTTAGCATTTTTGAACAGCTAGGGCGTCGCACCGGTGTCACACTCACACTGGGTGTGTCATTCCTGAACTCGCCCCTTGTGTGCACTCGGTGTGACGCTCAGGGTGATTTCGAGCGCACTCTAGAGATGTCGTAGCTGGGTTCGGTAATTGCATCTGCGAGTAAAAAAAGCAGATTTTGACGGTCGTCACGTGATGATTTATCTTGCTCCACTTGTCAAATCACGTGACATTTGTCAAATTTTGCTCATTTTGCTCGCAGATGCAATTACCGAATCCAGCCCTTATCCAGCGCATACACAAACCCTGCCTTCAGTATTTTGATCTGAGTTCTCCGAGCTTGAATTTAACGTTCGTTTATTCAAAAAGTGTACTCGGTGCAGGCTCGTCCGCGTTCTCTTTTTTTTTTCAATTAAAATCTCTGGCACTCTGATACATCGTTCAACTGCTCTGTTCGTTCGCTGATCACGTTATTACGGCTCCACTCAGTACGCTCCGCTCTTAGAGCAAAATACCGAACGCAAGGAAATTAACAGATGTGGCATTCAGAATATAAAATTTAGGGTGGGTATTATAAAACTACTTTGAGAGTTAACTTAAAGGTAACTTCTGGAATTACATATATAATCAAAGCCCCCTACAGTAATAAGCCATGAAGTAAGAAATCTGGCAACATGTCATGTGGGTCCTATGTTTTCGATTCAGGTTAGGTTTTGAATGTGTTTATTATATTTATTTTATTTATTTGTTATTATTATAGCGCATATGATTCATCTGTAATAGTTCAAAAGATCAATAATTGTGCCCTGTGCACTTTTTTATCAAAATTTTAACCGCTACCCTAATCATCTTTTGGTTTGTTTACTCAAATTGTTCCCACAGGACGCCGACGAACACTTTGTTTTTGTCTTTAGTAAAGGTAAGAAATTCATCATTTTTATATCAAAATATTACATTATGCAATTTTTTTATTTATTATAGATGCCCGATTATGCTGTGTTCGAGGTTACAAGTGAATTTTGCAAATTATGGTTACCAGCCATTCATAAAGAAAACTTCCAAATTACAAAGAGTTCAGTTGTGTGCTGTGAATATTTTGATACTACAGAAATGCAAAGGGTGGCATTACAAAAACAAGGAAGGAATTTGGTGTGAGCACCCTCTGATGCAACCTAAACTAATGAAGGGGGCAATTCCCAATTCCTCATATTATATTTGAAAATCAACCAGAATACCTATCTATCAAGACATTCAGTGACTAAACGAAAAGATCCCCAGAAGACAGAAGACAGGAACTACAGGAAATTTTGAAACAGGAAAATTGCAGAACTATTCAATTCAATTACCAATTTTGAAAATCTAGGCAAGGAAAATATTGAGTCCAAACTCCAAAATGTCTCTTAAATGAGTAGTTATAAGTATGTGTTGGTGTTTTATTTATCCAGTTCATTCTTTTTCCCAAACAAATCTCGAAACAAATACAATAATATCATATTTTTGAAAAAATATAGAATCAAATCATTCATCTAACCTAAAAAATCTGCTTTCAAAGGCAGACCAGCAGAGCCACTATGCGGTGTTGCCATTTTTACTTCATGGCTTATTACTGTAGGGGGCTTTGATATAATTCAAAAAGTTAACTTCAAGTTAACTGTCAAAGCAGTTTTATAATACCCGCCCTTAGTAGTATAGGGATTAACAAATCACTGGAAGTTAAAATTAAAAATTCATTACATAATGACTAATCAAAATTTTAATTGAAGATTGAGTTTTTCGAATTAAGATTCAATAAATTGAATTAAATGGGGACAGTTCAAAAACTACAGAATTGAATTCTATACCAATTTCAAATTCTTCGATTTCATCTGGATTTGAAACGCAAGATATTTTTTAATTATCATAATTCGATATTTTTAATTTGGTTCTTCGAATTTATGTAAAATTTGAATACGGAAATGATACCTATATTCGAAAGTGACCACTTTTCTCATACATAATAATATTTGATTTATATAGTTATCTTTTTGAGAAAAAAAATTGATTCCCAAATTTCCAGTTTCAATGTAACGTGCCTAAATTAATGTAAAATTACCTTATCAAAATTAATCCAAAATTCGTTCCTCTTGAAAATTCTACAGATACCTATTAATATTTGAAAGGCATTTTTAAGTAACATCATTCTCATTGATACCTATATAGGTATATTTATTGATGTTAGATTTTGATGAATATATTGGTAAACAAATTGACAAAATTATATTTTACAATTAACCATTAGCGTTTTCGAGTATATCGGCTTTTTATTTAGATGAGTAATAAAAGGGGACTACAGAAAATCGTTTATTATTGAGACATAAAAAAATGCAATAACAAAAGTCGAAAAATACATGAATTGCAAAAAAAAATTCCTACCCAAATGAATTTTTCAGGAATGATAGGGGGCAGATGGGTGATCATAAAACCGAAGATATCAAACATTCACCCTTCTGCCGTTTTGCGCTATAGGGGGTTGAAAGTGCGCCATTGGCAATTTATTCGTACCTGATTTTACGAAAAAGTGTTTCAGCTAAAAGATGTGCAACATTATTTGATCTACAATGTTTATCTAAAGACTTTTTCTATTAAGGGCCGTCTGTGGTCGTAAGGCCCTTTGAAGTTTTATAATGAAAATAAAAATTTTTACTCAACTTGAAATTTTTTTCTACAACACATACAACGTTTTTGCTTTATGAAGTTTTTCCTCACCCCCTGCCGTTTTTCAATAAGGGTAGTTTAAAAATTTTATATTTTTTTACAAAAAAAATTTCTTGATAAAAGTTTCATAATATTTCCTACAATTTTTTCTTATACCTAAACTTTTTTTGTGGCTCACCCCCATTCAGCGGGGGAATACTTCCCTTAGGGAAATTTTAGTTTTTAGGGGTATACAGGGTGTATATTTTAAGTGATACCACTATTACTATATTCGAAACGGTAAGAGCTACAAGGTCGGTTAAATTAGAGAAAAGTTGCCTTTTTTGATGCCCATTCAAAACGTTTTTACAGTGTTGTCAAATTCCTTTTAGTTTATGAAATACAGGGTGATTTCTAAAAAACGCCAAAAACTATTTCATCAACTATTTCGAAAACTATTGATATTCGAGACACAATTTAAATTTGAAAGTTTTATAATTTTTTTCGCATATAAAAAGTTGCAATTATTATTATTTAGAAAGTTTTTTTTTCCACCACCTTATTATTTTTAGGGGTAGTTCACCTATTTTCAACTTTACAAAAGAAATTTATTAAGAAAACTTGTTCATTTTATTATTTTGAACAACTTTTCTTTATATTTTTTTTAATGAAATTGAAAGTAGGCAAACTACCCCCAAAAACAAAAAGGTGGTGAAAAAAAAATCCTTCTATTACAATGTTAATTGCAACTTTTTATATGCACTAAAGACGAGAAAAGAAAAAAATAAAATAAATAAAATATACCCCTAAAAACTAAAATTTCTTTAAGGGAAGTGTCCCCACGCTAAATAAGGGTGAGTTACAAAAAAAGTTTATAGGGAAAAATTGTAGGAAATTTAATCTTATATAACTTTTATTGAGAATTTTTTTTTGAAAAAAAAAAAAAAAATGTAAACTACCCCTATTGAAAAACGGCAGGAGGTGAGTAAAAACTTCATGAAGCAAAAACGTTGTATGTGTTGTAGAAATTTTTTTCACGTTGGTTAAATTTTTTTATTCTCATTATAAAATTTCAAACGGTCCTCACGACCACAGACGGCCCTTAATCGAAAAAGTCTTTAGATAAACATTGTAGATCAAATAATGTTACACATCTTTTATTTGAAACATTTTTTTTTGTAAAATCAATAGGTACCAAGAAATCGCCAATGGCACACTTTCAACCCCTATAGCGTAAAACGCCAGAGGGGTGAATGTTTGATATCTTCAGTTTTATGAACACCCATCTGCTCCCTATCATCCCTGAAAAATTCATTTGTATAGGAATTTTTTTTTTTGTTGAAAATCGACAATTTTCCTAGACTATTGGTATTAAACTCAATCTGTATCACAGGAAATCATAAAGGAAAAAAATACATTAGAAATCATAAAGAGAAAAAAATTAAAGTATTATGCCATGTGGCCCAAAATCACCATCAGTGAGCTGCCAAGTTAACAAAAAAAAACGTATTCTGATTTACTGAACTGCTCAGATTATCATTCGGAATCCCAGTTTAAATCTGAAATTATTATTCGAAATCCCCAGTTTAAATCCTAAAAAAAGCTTATTCTGATTTGCTGGACTGCTGAAATTATTATTCAGAATCCCAGGTTACATCCTAAAAAAAAAAGTATTGATTAATAAAAATGCACATTGAAAACGTGATCTAAAATTGACACTAAGCCTCGGGTGCAACAAATTTAAAAAGACTACAGATTCTGCATGTTACATAATTCTTCGATTCTACTCACCTCATCCAAATCAACGCGGCTAAAATTTATTCCGCTATCATCCAAATTTTTTTGAATTCGACTTCGTTTTGCTTTATTTTTTTCATCATCATCTAGAATTCTAGTTTCTGGAGGAATTATTCCCCGTCTTAAATTATCAGTTGATAGAACCAGTTCGTCAATAATTTCTATTTTGCTCATGTTTTCCAATTGCAAAAAAATTCCATCATCTGAATTAGAAACTAAATTAGAATTTAGAAAAAAAAACCGCACTACTCACTTTTGTCTTTTTTAATTTCTCCCACACATTCGACGTGTACCCCGGATTTCAAAGTTGGATCGTCCTTAAAGTCAACGATGTGTACTCTAAGCCTATATACATCGTCAACAATGGCCCCATTGCCATATGAAGAGTGTCCCATGGGCACCAACGTGAACTCCACTCTTATATATCCCTGTAATCCTAAAAATATTTTTTTTTTATATAAAACTGACTCAGTTTCGCATACTCACTTATTATTTTTCCAATTTCCTTGGCACAGTTTTTAATGCACGTGTTTATTGTGCTTTGAGGCTCAATCGTACCTAATTCTTCATAACGCCCCAGTATCTTAATTGTGGTATTACGCCAACAACAAACTTCAATGGGGACTACATTTTCTTCTTTTTTGAAGAACGTCATATTTACATTCTGAATTAGGCCCCTCTCGATAAACAATATCTGTATTAAAACATTTAATCAGTATTAGTTGCTATAAAATACAATCATCATGCTCATGAAAATAAAACCTGTTCTTACCATTAAAGGGGAATATCGTTTAGAGAATTATAAAAATTAAAAATAAACTATTGTAAAATGAAAAAATTCAATTCCCTAGTCATTGATTAATTATTTCTATATCAGTGTAAATCAATATACCAACAATTTTATGTGTTACTTTTTTACAGGGTGTTTCGAAATCAATGCACCAAATTTTTATGGCATATTTTACGTTGAAAATCAGCCCTATTTTCCTATATAAACATAAATCTGGAAACGCGCTTCCTTTCCGAGATACAGGGTGTTAAAATTCTAAGGAAAAAAACTATTTTTCTATCAATTTTCAAACCAGTTTAGACATTTTATTGAAATTTTGTACACTGCTCTCAAGCAGCAAAAGACATTTTTTGATGTGAAATATTTAAAATAAAAAATTACCAGTGATGTAGACAACAGAAATAATTTGAAACTTTAGGTGTTTAATGTTTTACATTTTAATCATAATCTTCGCCATTTCGCCATGAATAAAAATGGTGTTTTATTTTTTTACTTGAAAACGGTGCATCTTTCGGAAAAAAATGAAGAAATCAAATTTGTTCCAAATTGAATGGGGATTTCAAAAATGATTTTTATTTTAGGAACAAGCAGTGACACACAAAAATATTCCATACAAATCTCGTACACACGTCACTGGTAATTTAAAACAGAAATAATTTCATATCAAAAAATGTCTTCTGATGCTTGTGTACAAAATTTCAATGAAATATCTAAAGTAGTTTGAAAGTTATGATAGAAAAATAGTTTTTTTCCAAGAATTTCAATACCCTGTACCTCGGAAAGGAAACGTTTCCGAACATATGTTTATATAGGAAACTAACGCCTATTTTCGAGGTAGAATAGATATGCCATAAAAATTTGGTGCATTAATTTCGAAACACCCTGTATAGGTATTATTATATTTAACTAAAACTCAACTTACCTGCTTGTTAACAATCGTTTGTTCATATTTCTTGGCCATGTCTTCCCACATGAGGATACGAATCCTCCTCCCTTGTCCATTGTTAAGAATGAATTTGAAAAGCGTTTTCGTGTTATTCTTAACTTGCTTGCTACCATCGATTCCATCTACATAACCAATCAATTCTCTGCAAAAAGAATTGAACAATTTGATAAACCACCTCAAAACAGATTATTAACACTTAGATGGTATTGTCCCCAATAACGAACGAATCTATTTCAGCATTGCTCGTAAACTCCATATTTTTTTCTTTTCCGATTTGCTGCAAAATAGAATAATTTGTCAAGATGCGCGCATGGTGCTCAATTTTAACTTACTATACGCAGAATTACCTAACTGCGTAATTTATTATTACATATATGTATTGCGCAATTTCTTGCTAGTTAATTAAAAATCCATTCAAATATAAAAGCAAAAACAAATTATTTTACACACCTTGAAATAAATGGAATAATGTAGGTATTTGGGTAAATAAAAAAAATAACTCACCTTTGAAGAACTACACTTTGGCCGAGACTTTGGCATAGAACACCTCTCTAAACTGAAACTATATCGTATCAAATACCCACAAACGCACAAACTAATAACTAATAATAACAAACCAGTCAAACCACTGCCACAAACCACTCAAACCAGTTAAACCATGTTTCCGACACTATAGGCCGATTCTAAAATTAAAAATTTGTGCTTTTGCAGGAGGCCTTTTAAAGTACCTAGTTTTGCGCCGCGCCAGAAATACAGGGTGCCAATTTGAAAACTTCCCACCTGTATTATGTGGGAGTAGAAAGATTTTCAAAAAAATCCCTGGAACAGTGAAACACGTTAACTATAATTTGAAGGGGGATGAGTTTTTATGCAAAATTCACCTTCCCTTTTTCAATCCCCCAGCCCCCAGAGCCACCCCTTAGAAAATTTTAAATGGGAAGGGGGAGTCAAGTAATGCATCATTTTGGAGGGTTTTCAATTCCATACATTTTGGTAGATACAACATAAGTTCAACTGTTTTGGAAATATTGAGAGTTGAAAATTGACTTTTTTGTAACTTTGACAAGCCATAAAACCTAAACAGTTAATTTGAGAGGAAAATTCCGGTTGAATATTTAATCTTTGGTTAAATTTAAAAATGGTGTCAAATGATAGTTTATGAAAATCCAAGACAAGAATGTAAGATCGGTTTTCCTCTAAAATTAACCATTTAGGTTTTACAGCCTGTCAAATTAGCAAAAAGATCAATTTTCAACTGTCGATTTTTCCAAAATAGTTGAACTTAGGGACTAACATTTAGTTCCAAAATGTATGGAATTAAAAACCCTGTAAAATGATGAACCACTTGATCCCCCTCCCCATTTCAAATTTTTCCAGGTAGTGGCTCAAGAGGGCTGGGGGGGTTGAAAAAGGGAAGATGAATTTTGCATAAAACCTCATCCTTCTTCAAATTATAGTCGACGTGTTTCAAGGATTTTTTCGAAAATTTTTCGGAAGTTTTCAAATTGACACCCTGTATTTTCATACCAGGAAATTTCAAAAAATATACCTTTAATACGCTCGGTCAAATAAAGATCTATTGTAATTTTACTTACAAGTTTATTAATTATTTGTATATCAAGGCTGTCAAATGCCGTTTTAGCGTACGTAGAGAAAAATTATCGCCCAGGCAAGATAATCTCGAGGACGCTAAAAAGTTTCGAGGTCATGGTATACACACTATTTTTTGTGCAACTATAAAAACTATGTAAAGGGACAGAAAAATTGTATGAATTTGACAAGAATTTGACACATTTTGCACGTCAGGTGTGACGGCCGCGAAAATGAATTTTGCGGCCTGTGTAGCGGCCGCGAAAGCTCATTTCACGGACGGTTGCACAAAAATGTTATTCAAACAGACATAAATAATTATCAAGTTTTGACCTAGGAGTCAAATTTAAAAAAAATATATTTTTAATACCTGCGTTAATTATTGGAGCAATTACACACCGCACAAAAATTATCGCATCACCAATGCTTTCATATATTTTGGCTACAGTAAATTTATTTTAATTTTTTTTTATGTAGGTATTCCCTGAATGGGCATCTCGATGGGCATTCTTCAACTGAAAAACTCGAGTCAAAAAACAAGTCGTTTCTTCTTTTGTTAGATTCGTTAGAAACGTCACTTTTATACATGTTTGACAAAGTTTTCCTGACTTCTGGTTTTATCGGAAATTACCGAAACTTTTGAGTTTCAAATGGCACACCCTGTATATTTTTTGTTTTTTGGATTTTACAGATTTTTTTACGTCCTAATCTACCACTTTTAAATCGAGTTTTGGCCAAATTTCGCTTTCAAATCTAATTTCAAGTTAAAAAAAAAAATACCTACAAAAATATTTGAACGAAAATTGAGAAAAATGTCGTAGTGTATTATATCGTTGGATTCGCTTCAAAATACTGCATTTAGTAATATTATGAAAGTGATATGTTTCTATTCTAGTTTTTGAGCTAGGGCAAAAATACTGAAATAATGTTAATAACAGCCCTCTATCAAAGAAGTTTACAAAGATAAAATTGAGTTTCTATTTTTCTAAAATTAAGTAAAGTCATTTTGGAATGATCATGGCAGTCTGGTTAAAAAATTAAAATTTAATTAAAAAACAAAATTTGGACAAAAATCAATTCAAAAGTGGTGCATTAGGATGTTAAACGATTTGCAGAATTCGAAAAACAAAAAATATACAGGGTTTTTCATTTAAAAATCAAAAGTTGCGGTCATTTCCGGTGAAACCGGAAGTCAGGAAATTTTGTCATAAATTCATAAAAATAGCGTTTGGTTAAAATATCAACCCTACCAAGTAGTGGAGTAAAATCACAATGAAATTATGACTTTGAGTGATTCCGAGGTATAACCAGATGAAACCTATATCATCTTGTAGAGGACACTCTGGGGCATAGGAAATGGGAATGTACAACTTTTTTAGTAGGACTGAACTTTGAAATCGGCCCCTAAATGTGACTGAGCTCGAATTTGAAAAACTACGTTTTTCTAAACATTACCCGCTGTATTTATTTAAGCATACAATCTAAAATTCTGATTTTTTGCACACTTATACTTGAAACATGAGTGCTTTTAATGACAGTTCAGGAATTTCGAAAAGGTTTAAGGTTTTTTTGTTAAAAAGTTAGGAATATAGAATTATCATGCATCTAAAACTTCACCGTGCGGCGAGCTATGTGAATTATTGAAAATTTCTATACATATATATCGAATCAAATGTAGTAAAAATATTGATGAAGTTTTTGAAAAAAAAATTAAGTCGCTAACTTTAACGGTTATAGAAATAGGAATTTTTATCCGGGAGCTTTGAAATGCGCTCTGATGCTAATAGCGGCTAGCGGCTACCATTCTGGAAATCATCTGCGTTAGTGCGTTAGCGTTACATCTAGAAATAAAATAAAAAAATCTATAAACATAAAGTAATTGATTGAAGCCTTTTTTATCAAGTTATAGTTTAACTATTTTCTCCTTCGTCATCCTCATATAAATCAGGAACATTATTTTGACAACTTTTGCAGGAACAATCGCTGCAGCATGTTAAACCCTCTTTCAAGCAGACACATTTATTATTTTGACATAATTTATCTTCGCAGAAGACATTCATTAGTTGCCTTATATCCATTGGTATGGGATCAGCAGTCATCAAAACAGGCT